AGTAGCTTCTTGCTCCTAGTAGCGATGCCCTTTGTTACTAGTAGCTTGTTACTAGTTGTGTTTCTATCACCATGGATCCTTCGATCTCAAGGACCAAGTCGTTCGCCCCCACCCTCGGTCCGTGTCGCCTTGTGTCGCCCACCCGGGGGTCCTCTTCATCTGCGAAGAGCTGACGGAACCTGAGCAGCACAAAGACCTACTGCCCATGATGGGACCCAAACATATCTTCCCTTTGCTGTTAAGAATGGCCAGGTTGGTTTGGTATGGTCTGGTGATCGGTAGTCCAACAATGTCCAACAAAGGGATTCATCCAAAGGTTTTGTGGATGGACATATCTTCACCTGAGAGTCTCAGAGGATATGCATTGAAGATCATTGAAGCCATGTTCACCCCACGCAATTGGTGGCTAAAGAGTTTGGACATGTTTGGACAATATGTTTTGATGATCACCATCAGTGGGGCCCGCTTCCGGAATTTGGAACAGCGGAACTAGATTTCCAGATTTGGCACAACATGCCCAGTCATGACTAGAATGACAGTTGAAATTCAAATACACAGTAAGTGAGCTCTAGCTTATATACAAAAAGCTGTCACGGTGCTGATACTACGGATTCTCCAGAATCCCTCTTCGCAGCTACTAGATTGCAGGAGCAGCGAGCAAATTCCGCACATCTTTGCTGGCAAGAAGCACCTCCCTCTCAGCCGGGAACTGCTCAAGAACCTCCTGGCACAGGAACTTGTGTTCATGTGCATTCATGCACTAGTCAAAACATCAACACGCGCTTTATAGATCCAATTGGGACGCCCCGCTCCACCGCCCCAGTCGCTTCTTCACGGTCGTGTCTACTCGGACCCACCGACCCGTGGGGGAGTCTGAGGGCGCCAGCATTGAAGTCATTGCGCAGCAAGGACAGCACCAAGCATAAGTCTTCGGCTCGCACCTCGGTCGTGGCGAAGCGGCGAAGCATGGATAAGCATGGCGAAGCATCCTGAATCCGGCGAGGGTTCCATCCATCCGCAAAGCACACGGTCCTGGTCCAGGGATCGGTCCTAGAGGGTCCACCGGGTCTCTTGCGTTCATGTTCCACCCTTCAGATGGGCTTCAGGTGTAGAGGCGCGGCTGGGAGTTCTGTGAAGACGGAGGCCACGTAGCCATGGTGGCCAACAGCATGGTGGCCAACAGCGGCCACATGGGCTCTGATCAGACAGCAACAATCGAAGCCCTCAAACAAGATCAAGCCGATCTTCAGTATCACCTCTACTGATGAAGCAATTAACATGAGAGATGGACAAACCCTGCAACTCTGGAGTGCGCAGGGGGCAGGGGCTGAAGAAATTGCTGGCGCAGGTGTTTTTTTTCAAACCACCCTGTGCTCCACCAACAAATATATCGATCAACATATCATAAAAGCTGGTCATTATACAATTATGGAGAAATCTAACAGATGCCACGATCAAGCCCCTCCCTTGAGCTGCTGCCAGGCGCCGCGTAGGGATAGAACGTGCATGTCCCTAGAAGTGAGGCTTCAGAGATCGCGGCTCCTGCCACCCCGCTGTGCGGAGCACACGCGGCGCAGCCGCGCGGAGCAGAGGAGGTGCTGGGGCGCCGCGAGAATGGTCTGGAGGAAGACATGAAGAACATCGGACTGGGGCAGTTTTTGACTTCAGATGTTCAGCCAAACTGGTCTGGGTCAGCCCGAACTTCGGAGTCCAAGCTTCCCCCGCACTCCCGCGGAACGGTTTTCACACACAGACCCGGACGTTCGCATCTTGAGCCTGCCCCTGACCCCCCGAACGCGAGGAATTCGTCACCTCCTGAAATTTAGAATTTGACTGCACCACCTCTTATCATCTCTTGACATTCGCATCTTCGAGTACGGGACCTGAAGCAAAGCGCGCCTGCTCTGAAGCAAAGCGCCGGCGCTTCGCCTTCTCCCACGACCACTGCACTTCCCCTGGAACTGCAGAACCCATTCGGAGACGAGAAAAGTCAGCTGCTGTCCATTGCTTTCCAACGCCCCACAATCCTAAAGCGTCCTAACCACGTGCCAAACGGCCTCTTACACATATCCACCAGATGCAAACTGCAGATCTCAAAGATCACCGCAGTCTTCGCCTCAATACGATGAACATACGATCTGCATAGTCTCGTTCGCGGGTAATAAAGTCACCAGCCTGGCAACCATGTCAGAAATGGCCCGCATGACATGCGCTTGATTCTGCGCTAGCCCAAGGGTAGAACTGATCTATGATGATCTATGTATATCTCTGTTCCTTCTTGCAGGGGGTCGATCTGGGAGATTTTCCCATTGGTGAGACCCCCAGGCTAGTGTTTCTGCAAACCGAGTTGGAAAACCTGCCAGATCCTCCCAGTTTGACCCTCTGAAAGGAGGAACATAGATCACTTCTTCTAATCACTTGTCATTATCATCACTTCTACCCTTGGGCCATGTCTCTCCATCTTCCAAAAGCATCCTGAAGCTGTCACGATGTTCAAACCGCCGGTCAAGTCCACGGTGCCTTGAACAGCATGGCTTTCATCCGAGGACCTTGGCGGCTTCAGTTCCGGAGCGATTCAGATCCCAGAAAAAAAAAAAGAACAATACGGTCCAGGCGCAATAAAACTCTAAAACTGCTCTTAAATTTTGCAGATTGGGCTTTAGGTGTTGATCGGATGTGAACAGATAGTGTTCATCGGATTGTTCGATCAAGTCATGAAAACCAGTGCCGAATGTTCTGCCGAGGATCGCATCAGCTTCATGAAGTCTTCATGGACGGCTCGAAAAAAGGCACAGCGGTTCAAGATGTGAGGAGAGCCTGGCAGAAAAACGGTTTGTTTTTTTTGTGTGCATCTCGGCCCAACAATGGTGGTGGAGAGACAAAACCCCCGGTGCATCTCGGCCGTAGCAAATGTGCCACAGCCAGCTGGTGTGCACCGCCAAGTGCTCTGCGTTTGCCGCATTGTCACTGCCCGTCAGCAGAATGGTATGTACCCAGACTGTTTGTGAACCTGATGAGAGGTCAGGTCCTAGCTATATAAATATGTCCACCTGATCAGCGATCAGGCTGCCCTCTGGGTTGTTGAAGCGCTGCCGAAAACCAGATTTTCTCGGGGGTCAAGGATCCAACGATCGAATGGCCAGTGAGACATTCCCCAGAAACATCCACAAAACCCATTTCATCCAGTTCTTCGTGTTCGAAGATCCTTCACAGCTGAAAGTAGCAATTCTGTCGAAGCAAGAAGCTACGAGTAGCCAAGGGCATCGCTACGAACGGAGCAGGGACGCTAGGAACATAGCTCCTAGCCATATATAGCCATACTGTTAAAATATAGGAAGCAAGAAGCTACGAACGTAGCGTTCCGGACACATCCGGACACAATGTCCCCATCGAATCCCATCGACCCTTCCTTGGACCATCTTGGACCGCCCCCCCCAGCAAGGCCCTAACCGGCCTCGTTCCACTCCAAGCTTTTGCTGTGCCTTGATGGCCATTTCATCCAGGATGCCCTGCACCGTGCTGTCGCGCTCATCCGGGCACTCGGACATGACCTTTTCCTTACTCGCGCGAGGTCGGGAAGATGGGAGGCTCACTGCGGTCGGGGTGACCGGGTCACGGCGTAACACTGGGTGTGTTGCTCAGTACGAAGGAGACCTCTGCGGTGCTGGGCGGGAACGACTTTGCTGGAAGCTTCGGGGTCTACCTGTCGGGGAGACCTTTGCCTCTCGCTTCTCTCTATGAACAGTACACAGCCGTATCTCTTCCCCATGGGACTTGACAGGATGTGAGACTTTGTAGTACCAAATGAGTACGCGTAGATACGAGTAGCTTCTGGGAGCTCGGGGCTCAGAAGCTGGCTTGCAGGGTCTCAAGTCTGAAGGTCCCAGAAAGAATCACACCGGTGGCGGTTGTTCTCCGGTGCGCTGGACCAAAAACAGAGATCAGAACAGTTTCACCTATATTAGTTTTCACGATGATTCACATACCAAAAGACTAACTAATAACAAACGTATCACATTAGATGTCTTTTATGGTCCGATCTAATCGGATGGGGATGATATCGGTCAACTGCCTGTCCTCGCCAATATTCAGGCTCAGAATCAAATTCTGCGCGGCCTATCAGCTGGACTTCGCAAGCAGTCTTTGGTTCGATGGAAGCTATCCCGGCAGCCAGGCCGATCAGAACATGCTCGCCTGGAAATCGGGGAGTCCAGAGTCGGAGATTCATCTAATGCAGGGCAGGAGGAGTCTGTGAAAGAACTGAAATTCTAAGCACCAAAAAGAAGAACCTCTTTTTTTGCGACCGTCAGAGTCCTTTTCCACCAAGACTAAAGACCGAACGATCCGATTCTCTTGAACGATCGCAACCTGAAAGGACTTGTGAACCTGATTCTTCGTAAGAAAGCGACTCGGTCCAGACCGTGCGACTGGACTCACGTGCTGCCCAAAGGGCCGAAGCAGCTTCCGGGCGTCATCAGGCTCCGATGCCCGCTCTCTTCGGTCACATAGACTTCGCCTGGTCCAATCCAGGAAGGATCGCAGGAGATAGGGTTTCACGGGGTTTTAAAAACCCGCACCCCTAATCCTTGGTAGGTGGATCCCCCTGGTAGTCTATTCTTCATTTTCAGTGGTCAGTGGTCAATCCGAGCTGTTTTGACCCACTGCCATGTAATTAATTCTATAAGACATGGTGTGGCGTTTCGGAGGCAGGTCGGTCGGTTGATTTGTGGGACCCCACGGCCTCTTCAGAACTCCTGGCTCAAATCCCAAAGGCATCCAAACACCATTTTGGGCAAGCCCATATTATAAAACGGGAATTGAGCCCAAGATGACTTAAGAGTCCAAAGGACCTCTGGAGGGTACATGCAGAATTGACAACACATGTGGAAGGCTTTTCTGTTTGATGTTCTAGACGTCCGATCTTGAAAGAAGTGGAGCCCACATGGGGACACTCACCCATAAGCAGACCTATAATGATCCATCCCAAGATAGGTACAACACCTAATATATAACTTCCCCCCCCAAATCAGTGCCGTGCCGACGCCGTCCGTGCGCTGCAATCACCCATGTCAAGAACCCTCGCAACATCGATCCTCGACCCTCCTTGCCTGAAACCAAGAGATATGCCACGTCCGTCGGCAGCAGGGCTCCTTCTCTTGTGACCCATGCACCGGGCGGAGTACCTCGAGGGTCCCGATGGAAACAGGCCGACCAGGCCGACCAAAAGCCAGCCAAGGGGGGTCAACGGAACACATATGGCTTTGCGAGCTGTTTCGTAGAGTGTGAATTATCGCAAGTTGTCTATCTTTCAACTGCGCAACTTACTGCAAGCTTGTGGTGGCCACGTCTTGCCATCAAGCCACTCCTCCGATTTGCATGCAGATTCCAATAATAGAGCCTGCGAACTCGTGCGTGACGCTCGGTGCGTCACTCGTCGTCTTTCTCGTCGTCTTCCGTCGTTCTCGCGTCAGCTCGAAAACAACGTTCGGCCAAGGCACAGGCGCTCGGATTCCTGCGATGGATGAACAAAGCGAGAGGGGTCCTGGGCGCGGAGACCACGCGGACCACGTGGCTTTGGACGGCCAAAACGGCCGGAAACCATGGCGGACGTGCCAAAGCGCCCGTTGCGCCCGTTTGCCCAAGATGTTTTGCTCTTTTGAACTCTTTGCATCTCTTTGCCCTTACCCAGGGCTGTGGCTTTGACAGTCCGATCGAACGGAGACACACCCCGGTCCCCTTAGTTCAAGCCCAAGCGAACCTGGGTCAGGAAGGGCCATGTACCCTGCTCCGCGGCGACTTGTACAGCATGTAGACGCGTAAGCCTTGGGACACGACTTGGTTTCGATGAGACGCGCCAGCACCAACAGCTGAATGTCAAGCAAAAATCCATAAAGGGCAAGAGCATTAAACCCTGCACTGAGAATAGTGCTGCTCGAAAAGATCAGTCTCCTCAACAATGCGACATGTGTTTCTATGATCGATCAGCTGAAGAACATGTTCGACTAAATTGAAACATGTTGAAACCATATTAATATGTTGTGTACCTGTCGGAAACTCTGAGTCTCAGTCAGAGTTTCACTCTAACCATTCTGACTTAAATGCTTTGATGTCCAAGAACTATATGGACTATAATTCTATCCAAACACACACACACACACCCTGAGGTGTTGATTCAGCAATTCACTGAAACATCTTTATCACATGGATGTCTGTGTTTCCCTCTAAAACGGGGAGACCAGCATGAAAGACCTTGACAGAATGTAAGACCGCAAGTGGAAGTAAGATGAAGTAAGCTCATCTTTCAGGGTGGGTCTGAAGAATCTTGAGCGCCATCTCTTTGACCTTGACCGAAGCAATCTATTCTTCTCCTTGCTTCGGAACGTCAGTTTCCATACGTGACTCGCTCCTCGGGGTGCTTCTCCAAGGCATCCAGGAAGGCTTGCCGTGGCAACTTAAAGCAACTGCAGTATGTGCTCGCCACCACAGTGGCCTCGGACCGCTCGGGCCAGCTTTGACTCTCGTTGGATCGCGTGTAACCGTGTAGGCTGCGGAGCTCGTGATGAGGTTCTGCGGTGCAGAAGGGTGCGCAAACGAAATATATTATGTGCAGAACCCTACTGCATACATGCATATTTAGTGCAATATATTACATAGTAATAGTAGGGTGCAGTATGGTGCAGTAATATGCAGTACATAACATTCCGCAATATGCAGTAATATGCATGCCTACGTGAGTCATGGTTGGTATGAATCTGGCATGTCCTCTCATTCCACATCTCTTCTGACTCTTCCGTTGACCCACTTGAAGTCAACTCTGCGATGTTGATCTGTCAAAACGACCCAAGCTTCAAAAAACGAGCCGCCTCTCTCTCTCTCTCTCCTGAATGGCCTCATGGCCTCTGCATGGCCAACAGATGGACTCGGTCATCGCCCAAGTCTCCGCCCGGTACCGTCTCCGCCGCACTCGTCCGTCCAAGTCTCAGATCTCAAAAGCACCAGTCCCAGCAGGGCGAGCTGACCTCGGTCGCGAGGGCGGCTGGTTCGGGGACGTTTTTTCGGATGGGCGCAGGAGTTTTCAGGTCAACCGGTGGAGTCATCAAGAACGCAAAAACAACAAATCAGGTCAGGAATCTGGAAGTTCTCCCCCCCCCACCCATGGATTGTATAGTGAAGTCGATAGATCCTTGCTTTTATGATGTCTATCAAGGGTCTGAAGATCATACTGGTGCTTCACGAATGGCTTTCCACTGAGCCAAAAGCACATAGCAACAAAACTCGCTGCTTGCCCGGCTTGCCACGGAGTACATCCTCTTCGGGAGACCATGTTTGTGAAACAGGAGACAGCTCGCCAAAATTTGGAGCGAGGCACCAAACACATCTCCAGGTAACAGCTCCTGGCTCTGATGAACGGCTCAGATGGTGCATCCAAGTTCGCTCCCCAAGCCTACGGACCTTCAATGCTTCAAAGGGGAAGACCTTTTTAGCATCCCAATACCATCCAAAAGCTGCAAACTCTTGGGTCTTGCTTTTTGAGCCACCAATTGGTCCATCAACAGCATGAATCAGACAATGAAGATCTCCTCTTCAGGTTGCACTTTCCCATTGACGAAGACTTTTGCCTTCCCAGTCGTAACCAGAAACAGTGATCCTTGGCTGACCAAGTCAGAGTCTCTCCTGGTGTCGAGCATCACTGTGTTTAGATCCATTCTGTTCCACAACACTGATCCATGGTCCAAATTTGTTGGGGGCCCAATTAATTAAACTGGTATGCAGTATACAGAGGTGACTGGAAACAAACTCTGGGGGAAAGACTAAGACCATAAAAGGGAATAATATGTCCAGGGAAAGTGAAGACATTCAGACATTTCAGGGACAAGTGCAGAAAAGCAAAGGTTTCCAGAGACAAGTGTGGAAGAGCCTAAAATACATTAAAATACCACACAACCAGAAAGCACATGAAAGCGCCACATTCTGCATCACCATGGGCCATTACGTCATAAATTATCACAAAAATATTAACTTTCGCATCAATGTCGATGGTGGTGCGCCAAATTGGTTCATGTGAGACCTTCGAATGCTGTATGTGGCTTGGACACCCGCGTGAAGCAAGTCTGCATTCACATCATAAATGATAAACCACGAGTCCCACGAGGGGTAAGGGTTGTTTATTCTTGCGATGTGAACATTAGAATGACAGTTTGCCTGCGAAAAGGGAGAAGAAACTGGTCCTACTGCGATTGGATTGACTATGATTGACCCATATGTTATATAATATAATATATATATATTATATATATATATTATTTATTATATATATATATGTTATCTATCAGAAGTCTATTATCGATCTAGACATTAACAATGGACTGAATTTCAGCCAGGCTCGATCATCAATGGCCGCTTGGACCACGATTGTCTGGCCAGGCTTATAGGCTTGCCGGTGGATGCACTTGCCAATGTCCTGGATCACACCTCTGATGGTACGGCATCATACCAACTCCCCCAAGCCCACAAAATCTTGCAAAAAAGGTTCAGGGCCAGGGCAAAAGAAGGCAAAGAAACCTGAGAAACATGTTGAACAATAAGCGCTTTGGACCCTCCAAGAAGCTCTGCCCACAGCCACGGAAGAGCTTCATATCATGTGCATAGTGGCTCATGTCCTCCCGGCCCTGGTCCGTCCGCTGCAAGCTGCGGAAGTAGGCGCCTTCCTCGGTTGCGTACGGTGGACTCCATGCGAGGTGTAGTGAGAAAATGTTATCCTTAACGATGAAAACCAAAACACCACCCTCACGGAAAATCGGTCGAACCCCAAATACAAATTCGCAAAGACCAAGCCTAGAAGAGCCCAGCATCAGAGGGATAGCCATCGTCAATGATGCTCTCGAAGGAATGATGCGGTATCCACAACATGACCAACAAAGGTGTTGCCGCACGGAAGGTGGCCTGCATGTGGGCCAGAGTGAAGGCCAGGTCTTCTAAATCAGTTGAAATGAAAAAACGCTGAACACACGCCAAACATCCAACATCCGCCCCAGCTCGATACATGGATCGTTTCCTCCGGTGCCGAACCAGTCTGCCGAACGGGTTGTCTTTCATGACGAGTCGGAACCGCGGTCCTACCCTGATTCTGACGAGCAGTTCAAGTCCTTTCAAGTCGATCATGTTCTACATGTTCTACATTCTACATTCAACTTGACAAAACCTGCTCAACCACCCACCCCCTTGGATTCTGAGAGATTAAGAAACAGATTCTCCAACCACTGCAACAGCTATAGTCACTCCAACTGGTCCACATGAAAAACTCGCGTCGAGCTTGTTCATGACATGATCTAAGGCCTATAGTCATCTATAGCCACAATGTAATCATCCACAATCATCTGCATAACAACTCTACACAACTCTGGCAGATGTCTACAGGCTCTACACACTGTCCCTGTCACTCCCCACACTGCAAGTTTCCCTAAAAATATCAGAAGCAAATGAAAAATAGAAGCGTGAGCTATCTTGTGTACAGTAGCTCGGCTCGTCCACTTAGCCCTTGCTTAACTTAAGTTGGTGCCTATTTATTTATATTATATAGATATAGTGGATTGAGAGTAGATGGCACAGACCCCAAGAGGTGGTTTATATGAACCTCCATGTAAAGGACATCTTGAGGTCTGTGCCATCTACTCTGAAACGACTGTAAGCTAGGGACGGCACCGTGGACGGTTTCCAATCGCTCCATCCGTCCTTCGAACCAAACGCTGCGACCCGCCTGCGACACGCTGCGCATCCCCAGGAACATCGTCTCGCCCAGCACCGTTCCCACGTCACTCAGGGCCACGGTGCCTGGTGGGGTTCGCGAAGCGGCTCCGGCACGCCGGGTCCGGGCAGATGGAACACGGGTCCGGGCAGGGGGATTCCGTTTTGGATGGCATTGGGAAGACGAGGTTTCCTTTACAAAGAGGGGTTGTGTCCACTTCCATGTTTGTTGCAAGGGCAAGCGATCTGAAGATGAGTCTGAAGATGATGTCTTCAATGAGATGCTGAAAACGATACGTTTGTACTGGACTGGATGGGCGTTTGGGTGCTTTAGGATGCTCTTGGGGCCATATGGTTTGATCATGGGTTGATCCATTTGGATGTTGGCTTTTATGGTTTTGCGATCCATCTAATTTGGATGTGTGATGGACAAGCAGAAAATGGCAGAAACATGAGCCACAGAGAGTGAGCAGCATCGACAAGAATGTCCTCGCCTTCCCGTTTGGTCTCAACTCGAACCTTGCCAAACTCTTGCACTCGCAAAGTCCGATCAGTGCTGCCCTCTTCCTGAGACGATGAGTTTCAATCATGGTTCAATCGAATTCCTAGCTATTGATGTTCATCGCTTCTACCATCTTCTACCACAATCTACCACAATGAACCATTGCTGGACCTCTCATAGGGGCAGCTTCACGCAAAAACCGCTGATAAGGTCAAACCGCGAAGCAGTGATGGCAGTGATAAGTTCGGATTTGCCGACCAGCTATATCTTGGGCATATCCTATGTATATATATATATACTACCGACCGGTGACTTAGGACTTGTGTGGGCCAGTGACATAGTAGTTGGGGCCCACTACTCCTAAGTCATTGGGAACACAAAAATTGCAGAGTTGCTGATTCAAGCCTCATGACTTGGGAATTGTCGCCAGCTGATGATCAAGCATTTTATTTATTTATTTTTCAGGGAGGGAGGGGAATTGATGCACACAGAACAAATGACATAAGAATCGGCCTGCTCATCATGTTTCATCATGCCTCCTGGTACTTACACCTCCTATCTCACGTCATTTATTCATCTTTTCCGGCAGCTTTCTGTTTTTTTAAAGCTATTCTTGTGTGACAATGTGTTGATGTGTTTCTCTACTTTAAAGTCCATGACATAGGAGTTGTGTACATTGCTCAAAATGCTTTAAGACCCATGACAAAGGAGTTGTAAAACCCACCATACGTTTTACAACTCCTTTGTCACTAGTCGAGAGTATATATATCGGTATATCGGTAAATCCCATTACCAGGAAGATCTTCTCGGCCGGCGAACCTTGAAGACATCTCCCAAGAAATTCATCTTCCGATCGGTGATATTGGCCACGGAGAGAATAAAAGCCGGGTTCAAGCCTCAGCACAGTTCGCGTGGAACCTTGTTCGCGGCCCATTCGCTGCGTTCAGATCTGCTCCAGCTAGTAGTAATTGAGCAAGAAGAATGAGGCATCAGAATCCAAGACTATTTTAAACTCCAACAAATTTACCTCGATTGGTCGTTCGTGAACTCTACAATCTCTACATGGATAATGAAATCCTGTGTATGGTGGTTCTGCAAACTTATATGTAGTAGTTGGTCAACAAGAAGGGGACTTGTCCCACTTAAACACTTACCAGAATCTCTTGACATCTCTTAACAAGGGTTCTGGGTGGTTCTTGTAACATCTGGACCTTGGAGTACTAAGTGGGATGGACCATTAAGCGCGGTCTGGATGAGGGCTCTAGCATGGTGGAGCGCTCCATCTTTCTGACATAAAGCCATCTATATACACTCCTCCATGTCAGGAAGAAAACCACCCTTATACCAAGTGGAAACCATTGAAGGAGGATAGAACTTGGATGTTCCTTTGAATGAAAACTCGCAGCCAGCGATGTTCCATGCTCGGGTCAACGCTTCGACCGGGCCGCCGTAGAAGAGTTTCATGCCTGCGAGCACATCGGTGGGCCTGAAAGGTCCGTCCGCTCGACGCAAGCAAGGCGTCGGCGTCGCACAGTGCAAACGCAAGGCGGAGTTTGGTTGCGGCACTGCTACTATAGTAACAAGGGCATCGTTACGTTCGTAGCTTCTAGCTACTAGACTAGTAGCGATGCACTTGTTACATGTGCGTTTTTGGGGGCAGACACAATGTCCTCAGTAATCAGTCTGTGGCAAGTGGGGAAAGCACGGAAAAACGAAGATAGGAGCAACCGTCGCAGACCGGTCTACCGCGCAGTTATCCACCAACCAGCCTCTTAGGATCTCTTAGGTGACATATGAGCGGACGGCAAAGCCTCCAAGCAAACTACGCGTCTTCTCTATGCGGTTGTCGGCTTTGGTAGTTCGTTTTAGAGGGTTCTGAGTGATTGAACATCCCTCGCAGATTTTGACACGAAAGCTGAGAAGCAGCCGAAAGGCAGCCCTTGTCAAAGGAAGCGGCCCCTCTCTAGCAGTTGCCACTTGGACGCGTGCCTAGAATGAAACTTCATTTCAAACCTTTTTGTCAGCACCGATGCACTGACTGCTTTGCCAAGCGGAATATTGCCAACCTGTCTTCCATATGGTCCACGCGAGCTTGTGAGAACTTTGGCATCAATGTTCGTGACCTAAGTGGGGAGGTGACCACTACGGCAGCCTTTGCACAACAAACAGCTACCATTTCGTTATCGATTTGGTTATCGATCAACGACTGGGATCTTTGTCGGAAACCGCATGAGGAAACCTTGCGCAGGAGGCTGCAGAAATAAAGCGAGCGTTGTGCAGCCTGCCACGGGCGTAAGCAACTTGCTTGTAGCCAGTCAGTACGACAGCTTACTTGCACGTGGTGCGCCAATGGTGCAAACAGCTTGCCTGTGACCACCCAGTCCACTAGCTTCGTTGCGTGCACGCAGCGTTGTGGAACTTGAGGCAATCGTCATCAACTTATTTTAGGTGGAACATGATCTCATAGTTCAAGTTATCGATTTTTGTAGTTCACTACATCGTTTTACAGGGTTTTGGGCAACCTACATCATGGAAAGACCCCTCCAAGAGTAAACTCTCACATGCACAGTTTTGCATGGTGCTCATATCATATTAGGACCTGATCCCGTTTTTCTTCTGATGTCAGACCCTAAAGACCCAAGGGTTCTCTGGCTCAGACTACTAAGAGCACTCAAGATGCATTTGTACAAACCACTGTTGTCCTTTTTGGGGGGGAAACGGAGGGGTCGATGCCAGGTGGTTCCAGACGACTCTCTCCCCTATCCCCTCGATTCGTCAGCA